AGAATTGAATACATTTAGATAGAAGTTGCACTCGTATTTATTTTGGCAGTACAGCATACGGTAGTGCCCCCCAGTTGTCGAAGCTGCATTTTCCTGCACTCTTGACTTTTATTGGCCAGAGTGGTGCTGCTAGATTAATGAGAATGCATCATCAGACACTTGTTGTGTTAACTGTAGTATCCCATGCATAAGTCTAGATCACTGACCATATTTAAAGTTTACCGACCTGTGGACAAAATATGGTGAGACTCTTCCGTTTGCAGGTGTGGAACCTCAAAGCTCAAACAGACAATAATTAACAGCAACATCAGCGATCCGAGCAAGCTAAGTAGCTCATTAACTAGCAAACTAAAAGCCCGCTAACCTGCTCTCAAGTTGTTGACAGAGAAGGCAGGGAATGTTCTTCAGTGACTGATACTATTTCCACAACTACTCTTTGTAGATCAAAGCAAAATGACAAAAATTTTTGTTGTTCATTTTGTCAAATTAAATAAATCCAGGGGACTGGAATTACTTTTAAATAAAGATACATGAATGATATTGACAGTTTTTCTGTCTATGACTGTTTAGGTCATGCTATTTATAGACATAGAAGCTAATTTTGTAATGTTGTGGTCTACTACTGACCACATGGAGGCTGGTTTGCATTGCAGCAAAGTCAGTAAGTCTGTTCTTATTATGAATTGCTGACAAACATACCAAATAAAAATAATTGTTATCTTTAATGATAATAATTTGTAGTAGAATAGTCAGATTTAGCATGTTGAGTAGGTGCATGCATCCATGTTTTTAATAATTTTACATAATGTTATCTGTGTAATTTGACATAAATGTGCATAACCAATTAAGGAGAAAAATCCATCCAATTTAAAATCTGCCTACTGGAGAGTCACGGATCCCTCACAAAGCTTTCATCACCTATAAAATATCAGAGGGATGAATAGTTGTAGACATGTCCCTGAGTGTTAGATATTACAATCTTTCAGGGTATAGCAAATTAGCGTTTGACTGGCTTGATGATTATGCTTCTAATCTTACCCTAGAACGATCTATGGACTGTTGCTACTTTTAACAGCAAGTTTTTTTAAATGTGACCTCAGTCAGGGTCAGACAGCCAACTTTACTCCTCTGATCCTCCTTAGACTTTTTGGTGGCATCTCAAATCTCATGGAGGTTTGACTTGTGCATCTCTATTAGATTATTCGCAGTAAACCCACACAGAGTGAAGCAGTCTGCACTCAGGCTGAATGGGCCTTTATGTTTCATAATGCAGAAAATAAGGATTAAGGCATTAAACCAAATATAGTTCTCATGAAAGCTGGGGGAACCAATTACCCTCAGCCTGAGCATGTTTCCATTATAGGAGTCTGCATGCTAAATTTGAACAGACATGGGAAAATCACAGCCTTGTGTTAATTATCTTTTTCAAAGAACTGAACGTCAATGTTCTCCGGTCTGTACCCAATTCAGCTTACATTCGTACCGACATAAATAACAACATTAAAATGGATGGAGAGCAGTCATGTAATGATTAGAGGTCCCAGGGGTGCATGTAGATGATGGTAACAAAAAGAAAACCTTCTTCTCAGTATATTCTTTCTTTTCAGAATAAAAAAAAACTCTGAGATGTGATGCAAATCTAGCATTTCATCCTTTTTTTAATTAAACACAAGCCACTGTTAGACTAGTTTTAGGTTTTCTGTAAATTCATGAAGGAATAATGGTGGGGAAAGGAGCAGCATTTCTTTTTTAAAGAGCTGCATTCATATTTATATTTTCTTTCCTAGCTACTTTTTAAAATTTCTTTGCAAAATCAACGCAAACCATAAACATTCTGAAGTTCCTATTTTTAAGTTTTGCACTTAAAAGAAACTTACCAAAAAAAAAAAAACTAACTGAAGGTAAGAAAACTTCCCCTGCTTTGTCTTGGTCCAAACTAACAAAAAGTGTTGCAAAACAAATATTATAATCAAAAGTAAAAAACTAACAAAAACAAGGCGCACATTAAAAATAGTCCTTGGATTTTTCTGTGAATAAATAACCCCCAAATAATCCTGCTGTAACCATCCCGACTAAAATAAAAAAAGATGTAACTTTTTACTATTTGAGATGGGCCTCTAACAGATGGGGCGAAGAACTTGGGACAAGAAATTAGTTATTAATCTATACCAGGAATTCCAGTCCTGACCTTTGGCCCACGATGGTTGCACCTGCCCACAAAGTTCCGAGGAAAGTTCCCACCCTTCCAACATAAATGTTCAATTATCAGGATTTAAAAGCATCCCTCTTTAATTTATGTGCATACTTTTCCTGCCCTTACATGTGTCCCCAGGTCTCAGAAGATTCAGCAATTTCTCCCAGTTAGGAGGGGGAGCCATGACAAGAATTTCTAACTTTCAGGCTGTGTGGCATTCTTGGTCAAGATATTCAGAAAATCCTAAATATGCTCCTCTGTGGTGTCATTTAAACCTGCATGTCACAGATGTTCCATTAATTTGAAAGCAAGTCAGTTTTTCCCTTAGTTACGGTTGGTAGAAACTAGAAATTATGAAGGATTGAACATTGTTATTGTCCCTAAATTCCTTAACTATTGCAAACTACATATCAGAAAAACTTAATCTAACCCAAATATATTAATAGCTGTCTTTTGCAAGTTTCATGATAGAAATCTTTTCTTCTAACATTATTGTACTGAACACGTAAACAACAGTATGTACTCCATGAAAAGAAAAGACAAAGAGCTGAAATAACCACTAACCATTAGATGGCGGCCTTGTTCCTCAGAGTTATGCCTGAGGAAATCTTTTGTCCTACATCCTGCTCCCCAGTTCGATGGTAGGAAATGCCATTTAGGGTGAAGGATTAAAGTTAGTCACAGCGCTCTCATGTTGTGAGGTTCAATCCCAACATGCCATGAGAATGAAAGAAACTTATTAAGTACAAAATTCATGGCTCAAGACATCAAAGGAACTTGGCAAGGCTGGGATTTCATTCAGATTGTGCTGCCCACGTCATCCAAAATAAATATAAACAGCGAAAAACAAAAATAATGATTGCCTCAACAACGGAGGCTGTTTCGCTCACTCTGTTTTTGGAGATAAAGTCAGTTCTTGAGTCGAGTGGTTAAAACCAGTCATATCAACTGTTTTTGGACAGACCAAAGTTATTTTAAGACTGACTCAACTAACCCAAAATAGAAACACTGGAAGAGTTGGATACATATGTTTCCTTAGTTTCGCAAGCCATCATCCGTTTGTCCTTGGATGAGTCATGTAATTGGTCAAGAAACTTGTGACGATTCAAAAGAAATTTCTGCCTGCTTTCTGTCGGCTGAGGGATGAGTCAGAGGACGGCTTCGGTATCAGTCTTAAAGAATCTGTGTGTTCCGGGAGCTGAAACCACAACTTTTAGCATGTGTGGAGATGAATAAAGCTATCAGAGAGGAGGGCGAGTCGCTGCCTTGCCTGTGCTTGTTTGTGCTGTGTCAAACATCAGTGTTTTGGAACTGTTCTGCGTTTTCTAGGAACTACTCGGATTCAAGAGAGTACTCCATGAAACCTGTTTGACAAGTTCAGGAACTGAACTACTTCTCATTTTAAACTTAAACTGACTATCTCCAGTCTAAAGTACTGCGATCCAACACAGGGCAGTGTCAGATTAGCAGATTAACTTTTACAGTAAGCACTCAATAAAAAAACAACAACAACTTTCCGTGTAAATCTGAGGTTGACACTAGAAAGATTGTATCTCTTCTGGTTTCAAAGTGGCGTTAAAAATCCCTCACTTGTGCCGCCTGAAGAGCAAACAATCCAATAAAATGGTTGCTACACCCTCAGGGGAATTAGATAATTCTGTTGGGAGATTCTTAGAACTCCATCCCAGGTTTCACAATTCAGGTATGCCAGTGAAGGATACTGGGGGGATGCTTCACTGGCACATTATTACATTATTTAAGTGCTTAAACAAACATTAGCTTACATGTGAAAACATGAAAGCTAATGCTGAGTGCTAGTTAAGAATCATCTGATAAAAGGGTATGGTTGCTTTACAGTAAATAATTATTTTATTTGAAAATCTGGTGTTGACCAACACATACCAACATGGTGAATAAGGTTTAAATTAAGGCTTTGTCTCAGAGTCCAGAGGCAACTGCAGTCATATCTTTTCAAACCCATAAACAGCTAACAAAAGTCTCATGCTTACATTTGACAGAGAAATTACAGTTAACATGTGACAAAAAAACAAGTAATTCATATACACTATATAAAACCTTTTTTTAAATCAAATAAGCAAATCATTATTTTGGTTTTTCTCCAACAAATATGTAAAGTTCTTTATCTCTAGTTTTGTGTATACTTCAAAGCTACCGTCTTTTGTAAATAAGTTAACAATGCAAAGACATCTTAATCACTTTTCAACTTATGTCAACATTTGCAATGCCGGGAATATGTCCAGGGTTCAGAGGGATACACAACCTTAATTCTTTATCATTCTCATGGCTGAATTAACAGCTATTGTGAGTCTTAAAAAGTAGACTAATTCATGTTATGTCCTTGCATAATATACCACAGTGCTGCATCATAACAAACACATGGTTTCTGCTGCCACTGTCTTGCTGAGATTATAGTTACAGGTTTGTGGCTAAAGTTAGCAGAAATACACTTGCATTTTCAGTGGGTATACAATTCTGCCATGCTATTATTTTTTTCTTGTTTTCAAATAAAAATAAAGTTAATTCATCATATGGTAAGATGTGCCCACAAATATTAGGCTTTAGGAAAGTATAAAGTAAAATAAATAGTAAAACAAACTTCCCCTATATATTTCCAGTTGTCACCCATTGTATCAATTGTATCGAAATGCACGTTAGATGGAGATAAACAGACCTACGTGACATCATGAAATTTCAGGTGTTCGCTCTTACGGCTGATGAGTCGAAACTGCGTGCGCGCCCCCGCCCACCTGCACAGAAACCGCCTAAAAAAGCTCGCTCCCGCTACTTCCTGCTTAGTCAAGGTGCAACAGGCGGACAGGTGTACGAGGAGCTCCCGAGAGACTTTTTAAGCCAAGAAACCGCCGCTTTGACCTTATTACACTTCTAGAAAGCAGAGGGACACATACATAGATAATAACCAAGGAACTACCTCGCTCAACGAAGCAGACTTATTTGAAAAATCCGAATTTTTTAGGGAGAGGCGGATTTTTTTTTTACTATCAGCAGGTGGACGCCATCATTTTTTAAAGATTTTTTTAAACAACTTTCTTGACTGAGTTAAGTTATTTCACCGTAGCTGAAAGAAATTAAAATGGCCAACTCGGGTCTTCAGATTTTGGGATTCGCCTTGTCCCTTTTGGGTCTCATTGGATTGATAATTGGCACCATTTTGCCCCAATGGAAGATGTCCGCCTTCGTGGGCTCCAACATCATCACGGCGGTGTCCATGTACGAGGGACTGTGGATGTCGTGCGCGTTCCAGAGCACGGGCCAGATCCAGTGCAAAGTGTACGACTCCATCCTGCAGCTCAACAGTAAGTACAGCAAAAAAAAAGTATCACTTTCTCGTGAACGAGGTCTAAATCAGAGAGTTCTCCGTCATTTTATGTGCGCTTTTTTTGTTGTTTTTTTTTGTCTTTTATAATTGACCTTAGTATTCCCCTCCCCCCCTCCTCTTCTTCCTCCTCCATTTCGAATTTAGGCTTCATTGCCTACAGTGAGTTTTAACACTTAAGTGTAGGAGGAGAGCTGCTTTCCAACAATTGTTGAAAAGCCAATTAGTGCAGCATTTGTTTTTGTGCGTTTTCCATTTTGACCATCATTAACCTTCATCACTTCTTTTCTTTTTTTTTTTCTCCAAACACCCCCACAACGACCTTTTCCTCTTCCTGTGTTGAAGTCTCCATATTGTACGTGTTTCTCTTCACAGCAGACTTTAAAGGTTAAACACCCCTATGAGATGTTTGGTCAACTTTTCTACATTTGAGCACACTTTTTTTTTTTCCTTCTCATTATAGACAACAAATAACTGATTTCTGGTCAAATAAATTATCTTTAAATGTTTCAATCAAACCACATTTAAGATAAAGGCAGCCAGATTACAGTAAATTAACACCTGGCTTAATCCACATTGTCCAATGTGTTTTCCTACTCTGTAAAACTGGTCATGCAGGACACTGGCAACAATTCAGATGGCGGTTACTGTTCTTTACATACAAGTTTAACTGACTGATGGGATGCCTTTGGGCATGAACCGCCTCAGTGTCATTGAGGGGAAGTGTTGTGTACATTTGTTCCTTCCTCTATTAGTTTTTAGTTTTCCAGTAGTAAGAACTTCCAGCTAAACGTCTTTTTTTTCTTCTTTGTTTTAAAAAAAACAAACAAATTTTTTCTTATTTTATGGTATGACTCATCAAAATGTAAGTGTGTGTATGTATATGTGTGTGTATATATATATATATGTATGTATGTGGAGAGAGAGAGAGAGAGAGAGAGAGAGAGATAATTTTGTTTTATTTTCAACATGAACTTGGATTTCAAACCAGTTTTGTGTTTAAAAGAAACAGTTCCAGCATTTCCAGACAGTGTTCACCTGTTGTTATGAGAAGGGCCTAGGAGTGTCCTCGTAATGAAACGAGAAACCTGGTTAGACCTGTTTCAGGCTTGCTCGCGTACACACCCACACCCCCTTCTCTGGGGACTTTTTTTTTTTTCTTTTTTTTTTCCGGCCTTCCGGTTGGAGCCAGTTTCTGTGGTGTGTTGTTGGGAGTGGCAAGGGACAGAAGCTACTCTGTTGCTCCTGGATGGTGTTTGTTTACAGACACCCCTCTTTTTTTTTTTTTCTTTTTTTTGATGATGGTATCTGAACTCAACAAAGCAGCCACTCTGCAATTAAAGCAGATACAAATTGTAATTCCTTTTAAATACATGCTATTGTCTTTTGTTTAAAACCAGTCATGCATTTTCCTCTAGCTAGAGCCTGTTGTTTCCACCAATCGGATGTGCTGACAGTTGGTGTTTTGACAATGGCTCGTGGGTTAACTTTTTTTTCCTCTTCTCTTATCCAGGTGCGCTGCAGGCGACCCGCGCCCTCATGATCGTGAGCATCATCGTAGCCGTGGCTGGGCTGGGCGTATCTTGCATGGGAATGAAGTGCACCAACTGTGGAGGAGATGACAAAACGAAAAAGTCCCGTATTGCAATGACCGGTGGCATCATCATCCTGATCGGAGGTAAGTCCCCTTTTTTTTTTTCTTTTTTTGGCCATGCCCCTCATCCCAGTCCATCTCCTTAACAGCGTCAGTGATGTTTTTCCTTGTTTTCACAGCTTTGTGTGCCATCATTGCCTGCTCATGGTATGCTCATGACATCATCAGAGCCTTCTATGACCCCTTCACCCCCGTCAATACCAGGTAAATACTTGATCTTAAAGTATTTTCCATTGAAGGCAAAGGCCCAGTTTGTTGTTGATTTAATCTAGAAAACGGTAATGTACATGAATGTTGAATTAACTTTGTCAAGAAGAAGATATTGACTTACTTTCTTGTTTTCTTATGACTGTTCTAATCTCTTTTTTTATTTTATTTCTTTAAAATCAAGGTATGAGTTCGGTTCTGCTATTTTCATTGCCTGGGCTGGATCATTCCTGGCAATTGTGGGAGGTGGTATGCTGGCAGCATCCTGTCCAAGAGGCAAATCCTCCACACCCAAATATCCCATCTCCAGACCTCCCAGCAGCAAAGAATACGTTTGAAGATGAGGGGGACACGGTTACAGTTTGAAGGAACATTTTAGATTCACATTAGTTCAACTCGGATTAGATCACTGAGAACATGTCTCAGAGGAGCCTCAGTTTTTACGTACGGCTTCTTTTTTTTAATTTTATTTGTACATGGCTGACTATGCTGTCATATTTTAACTCATTAAAGTTTTAATAATGACTGTTCTAAGAAAATGCTGTTTTTGTATGCTCTGTAGCAAATACTGTGCAGTGTACGTCACATGTAGTGGGATGCTGTAAAGTTGAAATCAGGAAGCCCTGACAATGTTTCAACAGCTCTCTGAGCTGTCGATGGTACAGAACCTTAAAATGTAGTGAGCTGTTTCTGGATGCATTGAATGAAAGTTACCCTAATGAGCAATTCTGAAGATGAAAGAATAATAGTTTTTATCTTGTGCTTGACAAACTATTTAATACCCTATTTTTTTGCTCTTGAACCCCTTAGAATAGGAAAATTAAATAGACTAAGATCAGCCATTGCCACTGTAAATGTTTCCCGATGAGTAATTGTAGCTAACCTTAAAATGTGTTGGTGCCTTTTAACTCGGCTTGCCAAATATTCTGACAAATGTTACTGTTCAATGTTTTTATATACATTCTGTTATGGTTTCCTTATGTGAGTGGGCTTGGCTTCCTTCCCAACACCACCTATTGCTTTTATTTTTTTAAATAATGAAATACTTTCATTTATGTATATAAAATAAAAATCAAAGTAATCTCTGAAAGTTTCTTGGTTCATTTGACAAAGCACAGAATTGTTCTTCAGTGCAGTTCATAACACTCCCACCTCCATGTTTAACAGATAAGCTAGATCTTAGTCACCTATGTCATATGGCTTCATATTGGTCTCGTCTCTTCATAAGAATTATTTCTCTAAATTAAATCCTCTTCAGATAGAAATATTTGTCAAACACTATTTGTCCTTAAGATATCCCAGCCATCTGTTTTAATGATACTTCACCTCTGGTTCTATGGTTGACTGTTAGCCTTAAAATAAATGTCTTGGCATATCTTCTCTCTTCATGTTGTACAAAGACAATACACACCTGAGAGGCCAATTATTCCAAACATCTATGGTTCCCTGAAAGAAGGAAGACTGCTTTAATTTCTATATGATAGGACTGAAATGTAAATGTAAATTAATGCGTGGAATGTTTTATTCAGATTGCATACTGGGCAGGAGAGGGGAAACTCGGAAAATGTATTTGACATTATCCAAAGATTATGGAGGCTTCTGTCTGCGTATGCCACGAAACATACTGTTCTGGTATTAAATGTGTCCCTGCAGACACTACAGACTCAGGACACAGATTGTTTCTCTACTTCAGCAGGGATGTGTAATTGTCAGGGACATGCTTCCTTTCACTGGCTGGAGGCCATCTTCTTTCAGATGGATGTGTCGTGTCCACATGTGGACAGAGTTGCCTTGCTTCTATTGCCATCTGGTGTTGGACATAAGGACGGTCCTTTAGAGGAGCAGAGAGTGGATCTTCAGGCTATACTTTCATAAATTTCTCACTTTTTGTAATCAATAACGGGAAACAAAGACAGAGCCAGCCTTCTGGGTACATTTTCTATAACTCAATGTGTGAGAGCTCTACAGTAGGAGGTTTTCACACCTTATTTCTCCAGTTTTAGTTTTTTCTCGAAATTGTGGGATATCTCCCTTCATTTGGTCATTAAAATATTTCTAGGCTATAATTCTTGTCATTTATCAGGGCTGCCTGTGCTGCTCTACTTCTACTTTACATCTGTTCTCATTTCTGACAGTTATTCTTACTTCCCTCTGGCGGGACAAAAAAAACAAAACAAAACAGAAAAACAGTGATAATGATTTTGCTGCTGTGTGGCCAAACCTTCTGACCCCTGTCCTCCTCCATTCTTCAAAATCACAAAAGCTAAATTAATCATTCATCTACAGTAAGGTTTTGCAACTAGCACATGTGGTAAGACTATTGCAATGACACTTTATTTGTCACTCTTCCAGATAGACCGTTAAACTTCCCCTCCCACTTGGAATTCTGTTCATCTTTTTTATTTTCCTGGAAAAGGGTTGGCCTCGCCGCATTAATTCCAACAACAACACATCTGAGGGGTTCATGCAATCTAATCAGCTGGCAAGGCTCTCCTCAGCTGTAAATCCAATCACACACTCCTGTGCTGTCAGAATGTCCCGAGTAGTTACGCTGTCCATTTTGAATCAGTCTGATGGTAAATGACACTGATTAAGAGATCTGTTACCAAACTTCAACAAGATGAAAGAACAGGATAAAAGACTGTTTTTTCAAGGTGTGAGTGAACATGGTCCTTGTTTTTGCATGAGAATATCGCAAAACTCTTACATTATCCCAATAAAATATCATAAAAAACTATATCTTCACTTTTTTATAGGAACTCACCTCAAAGGTAGCAGATTGTAATTTTACACCCTTTGCTCGGAAGCCTGTTCACAGCAGGGAAACTATAACAAAAGTCTTTGTGCGACAATCCAAAATGGCAAAATACAGGGTTTATCCCTCTGTGGGAGATGTCACTGTCTAATGTTTAAAGTTCACAAACGCTGAAGGTATTCACTTCTGTGTAAATAGTAAATGATGGAGATAAAGAGGTAAGCATGAGAGTGTATCAATAAGAAATATAGAAACATTTTACTTGCAGAAGCCTATAAAGCTCAAATGGTTCCAAAGTTTTAGCCGTAAAATGTTTCCACTGGAGCCCTTCGACAAATCAGTGTGGTTAACTTTAGCAATTTTCGATTTTGCAAATCACACAACTTTAAAGTTTGGAAAAGTGAATTGACTGTTGACAGTGATAAAAAGAGGACGTTGACAGTTTCTGAACACAAAACAATTGTTTTGCGTTTAGCCATAAAATACTTCCATAGTGATCACCTTTAACAACAGAACACTAAATAAGTGATTCAGCTTTAACTTCTCATTGTATTGAAACACTTCCTCAGCTCCTTTCAGGTCCTCATAAACCTGCAAGATGAACTTCACTAAACTACCGTCACCAGTTACACAAACAGAGCTCCAAAACACAGGCACGGTTTAAAGTAAGGTTTATTATTACCAACTGATTCAACTAAAAAAAACATTCAAAAAAAGGTTTGACTGCACAATTTCACGTGCATAACTTAAGAAAAAGCAAGCCACTTTGAATTCTGGTTTTAATGGGACATTTTTCAAAATATAAAAGAAAAATTAGATACTGCATTCATCCTGAAAACTGAGTATATTCATGAACCCCGTTACAGAGCATTAGAAAATTGACCAACAGACCCCAAAAATCCCTCATCCCGATGACACGATTCAAGTTGTAGAAGCAGATGCTGGTTTGATGGACGGCATGGACTGGTCCGCTCAAACTGGCTTCTTGCACACTCATTCAACAAATAAGGACTGAACTCAAGCTTCTCGAGCACAGGTTAGCTCTAACAATCATTACACGTGATCTGCAAATGCCCTCGTTCATGCATTCCCACTCAAAGTACTCAACCTTTGGCCTGGCAGCCCTCAGTAGTCATGGCAACACAAGGCAAACATCTTCAAAAGAGCTGAAATGGGTCGGGTGCTTCACTTCACTGTTTATTTAGCTTGATTAAAACCAAATGATTGAATACTTTTTGGACGGTTAAACAAATGACAGGAACAATTTCAACTCTGATACAGTTATTCAAGCAAGTTTGGTCTTTTGGGATCGTTAAGAAACGTTCAACATTCAGAGAGCATCAGAGTTGTGTATTCTGAAAAACAAAATTAAGCAATGGCCCAATATACACTGCCTGGTCCACAAAATGAATGCACTTTATATTTTTGGTGTGTACAAAATGAGGTCAGCTTAACCACAGAAAGAACAAGTTTATTTAAACCTGACAAATGTTACCTTGCATAAGTTAATCCAAACGGTTGCATGATGAATGCCTTCAAAACAGTCTTTTTTTTTGCTGTATTAGTCTTTTTGGGTAGGCAGTGAATGTTGACTGTCGTAGAGGAGTTTTAAATGTGCTTTGAGTGGGTGTAATGATGCGACGACCACAAATGCAGAAATATCACTACGACTTACAGCAAAAACACAAAGTATCCCCACTTGGGTGCCAGCGATCCAACAAAAATTTACTTTACACATTTACAACAATGCAAACCTGCGAAATGGCTCCACTGGGGTTAATTAAACAAACAATAGTTTATGAGCCAAGATGAGAGGGTGATGGAGGTGGAAAGATGTGTGCCAACGCTGCACTATGACCGTCCATCACCGCCTCCTCTAGGGCCAGGTGGGCTAAAGAGTGATTTATTGGAGATTGTGAGGCACAGAATCTGGTTTCAGAGAAACTATGAGAATGAGCATGTCATAAAATGGTTAAAACTACAGTCAGTTATTTTTCGTCCTTCAGCGTCTGCCTCCACTTCCACAGCTCTGCGATAACCTGCAGGCACAAACACAAACAGACGCCCGTTAAAATGGCGCACCCTCCCATTCAGGCAGAAAAGAGCACAACAAGCAGAGCAGGCTCTTCGGTATAGTGCCCCCTTGTGGTTGCAACAACAAATGGCAAACAGTTCTAGATATTTACACACACAAAATTGACTTGGGGACACAGAAAGCCCCGGTGGCTCAGACCGTAAAGACGAAAGCCTTCTGAGAGGCCGCTGCTGTACTTTACCGTGGCATCGGTGACTCTATGGCCAAACTTCACAAAGTTCTCAAACTTGGGCTGGGCCTTGGGTAATGTTATACCCTAAAGATGCAAAGAAGGAGAGACGAAGAAGAAATGAGCGGCCATCCACATCACGTTTTTACAGAAGGAAAAGAACAAAGAAGCAGAGTCAGGGGGAATGCCAACAACACCAACCTTCTTCACTGCCTCCAACATTTTGGCTTTCATCTCAGGAACTGTCAGGGTGGGTGGAGGGGTTTTGGGGGACTTCGCACCTTTCCCTTTTGGGGTTTGTTCCTACAGTTGAAAGAGAGGACAGACAGGTGTCTACAGGGTTCTCTGCATTCAACAGAGGCCAGAGGCCGGGAGCAGTGAAATGCGGCCGTTACCTGCTTTCCAGCCGGGGTTTTGGGGGCGGGGCTCTTGCCATTCTGAGCTGGAGCTTTTTTTTTGGATGGTGTCTGTTTGGCCGGTGTTTGTTTGGCCTGCGTAAATAAAGAGGTAACTGAGCAAGAACTGACCAAATCCAGTAACTTTTGGAAAAAAAACCTCCATGCAGTGTGTCTTTACCTTAACAGGTGATTCTTCAGCCTCACTTTCCGCCTCCTCATCGTCGTCATCCTCCTCCTCGTCATCCCTGGCAATTGAGATGCCATAGTTTAATACTACAGTAAAAAGGTACTTGTACAAACACATTGTTGACATTTTGTAACACTCATGACTCACTCATCGTCATCATCTTCATCATCATCTTCATCCGTTTCCATTTTCATTTTTTTCTGTTAAGACAGCCAGAGGGTGGTTAGTTTCCAACTGGGACTGATTTCAGAAAACAAATGACTGGTTTGTTTCATTGATCAAATATACCTGAGACTTGGCAGCAGGTGAGGAAGCAGGTCTTTTCTTCACATTCTTCATATCCTGCTCTTCGTCCTCTTCCTCCTCCTCCTGTTCCTCATCAAAAGACTGGTCGCCCTCCATCACTGCGAATAGTTTAGAATCATTCGTCTTTGCGACCCACACCGATTGGCCGGGACACTGAGAAATCCGAGCAGCTGGGGGTGCTCTAGTGGGTTTGAATACTCACTAACGAGGTGCTGTCCACTGATGTGGATCGGTCCCGAGCCCGCCTTCAGACGAAACACTGCTGGGGGTGTGATTGTGAACCCTCCAAGGCACACCTGCAGAGAGATCCAAAAGCCACAGCCATGATATTTAGCTTACAGGGAACAGCACTTGTAAAAAGCAACGTGACAGACACGGATGAAAAGACAAAAAGCAGACTTACGCTTGGGAGGGTAGAAGGTCTCAGGGTAACCAGGGCTGCTTTGATTTTCTGACCCTCTGCGTCCTGCCCCTCGACCTCTACCATGTGAAGTTCATCTTTTGTGGTGGGGTCCACGCAGGCCTGAGGGGGGCAGGAGAGTGCATTGTTAGGGCACTATACAAAGTCATTTCAAACTAGGTTTGCTCTTCTCACTTCTCAGAGGCTAACACCTACAGTAGCTTCACCATATGCATCTTCGTTTTGAGCAGCTCATATTTTAGATATGTACCAAAAATCACTACTGAGTCACCTCAGACAGTTATATCCACTGTGGCTAAAAAGGTCATTTTTTAACCACAGACTTTTTGGAGGGATCAAACCCCTCTGATCAGGCCTATTCAGCTATTCAGGGTGAGTATAAGATGATCAATGTAACTTGATACAAGTATCCTCACTTAATAATCAAAATCCTGCTTCTGTATTCAAGAATAAAAGAGCAAACAATTCAAATGTGGTGGACATGGCACAAATTAATTTTTTTTAATAAAAACGTGGAAAACTTACCATTCTTAAATCCAGCTGATGCTCCAACTCATCATCCTCAGGATTGAAGATGACCTCCTTTCCAGTTTCCAAAACACATCCTGTGGGACATATTTCAATTAGAAACAGGAAAACCGACTTTCAGGGAAGACATGTTGGACTGATATATGCAGTATGAGTGGATAGCAACTTTAATAATCTTCAGCCCTGAAATCAACTAGGTTCCACGTGTTATACTTAACACTAGCCACAAGAGGGAGCCACTGAGACAACAGTGAGAATGGTTCCACGTGTCGAAATGTTTCCACAATCAGGGGAAAAACTGAGCAGATGTCGTGATGTGATTCACGTTTAGCTACGATGCATTTATTTATTTAAAAAAGTGAGAAAAAGATATAATCGGGTTGCAGAGCTAACTTCCCATGTACCAGTCCACTATAGCCTGGGTACTTATAATCTAAAGAGTAAGATGCACAGTTCACATTATGGATAAAACTGTGAAAACTACTCTTAAAAATCTGAATTTAACAGTTATTCAGCCTTTACTCACTGGATGACTTCGGGATCTGGGACATTGGCACTAACGAAAGGTTATCTTTCTGTTCCATTGACTTGGGGGGTGGTGAAAGTATGTGAATTGGTGGCTAACAAAGCTAATTATATAAAAGACAAAAAAAGCTAAGTTTCCGTGTGGCATATGATCCGTTCATTTAGTTTTGTTGGATGCCACATTACAAGGTTAAACCCATTTAATCTCCTGAATGAACTACGGTAGTCGAGATGAGGCGGTCCGCGTGGATGAAGCCACGTTGGACTGAATTTACCTTTCAGCCAAATATATATCCACCTAAACATTAGCCCCGAGTACACAGTTGCGAATACCGAGGTATAAATCAAACCAACTACCAATTTCAGGGCATTTTAAAGGTGGAAAAGACAGATTTTCCACGCTGTTCAGAAAACATGGGGGCCGCCATGTTGTTAATCAAGCACGTGTGCGGCGACCTGATCTCCCCCCAGCCGTTTACCAAGAGTCCCTAATACACCTTCCTCAACACGGTAAATCACTACCAATACATGCTACCATTTTCATTTTCTTCAATATGCCGTTAAATACATCCTTTCTACCTGCTGAGTGACATGAAAAGTCCAGACAGTTATGGTGTACCTTCCCATGGGCTGATACTAGCATCAAAAGTAAGGAACGCACTTACGACTAAAACGTTTGACACACATACACAAGACATTATCTCACCGTAAAGGAAGGTTTGTGGGGCCATTGGGTCTTCTTCCAAACCGTTCATCTCTCAAGTAAAGTGTACCGGCTGCTGAACAGTGAGCGAACAATTGAGAACTACCGCTGGCTGATACTAACGTGCTACTGCGCCTCAGCTCTTCTTCTTCTTCTCTGCCGAAAAGGAAGTGAGAAAGAGACACAGCGCCACCTATCGCACCCCTAAGTGGAAACAATCCTTTGTTCACACACTGTGCGCTCAAGTGACGTGCTCAAATGGTTCACGCTTAAAGGTTGAGGACATGTGGATTTTATGATAAGAAAAAAATATTTTTTTTCTTAAATAAGTTAAATTGAATAGCTGAAATAGACAAAATTTGCTAATTGCCGGACACACTTCTCTTAATAGTGGACAATACAAACAGCATATTTTTGGGGGAATAAGAAGCAGTACGATAATGGATGGATTCAATTATTGTAATTACATCTACATTCCCATAAATAATATCCCCCCCCTTCCAAACCCTCCCACACCCTTCATTAGAGCATTTAACACACAGGTTAACACACAACACAGTGCAATTAGGTATATCTACACTGAAGTAATAGTGGGATAAAGTCATACTTTCTATCCTTGCTAAAAATGCTATGATCATTTTCAAAAGTAAACTGCAACCCCAGATTAAATGATGTGATTTCGATGTACAGATGAAAATATTATTGTGGAATTGTTTTAAATATCAGAACTTTTTGGAAATATCCAGAATCAGAATCAGAATGATGAATTTTTATCCAGTTTGTGTGCAGGACACATTCGCTGTGTAAACAGTATGTGTAAAAATTCATACACGTTACTCATCGATTGCTCCACACATCTATTTACATGCTGAGAGCTATGAAATCATTCTTTCACAGAATAAATCAGAAGTGAAGAAAAGGACAGCACACTTAAAGAATTTACATATTTATTTTATGGCTTATAAATATTCTTTAGTTTATGGTACATAACAACTCTATTTCAAACCAAAATACTGGAAACCTGAGGCTGTGATGTCACACAGACCCAACACACAGCAAAGTGCTCCTCCACCGACTGCAAAAAGAACAACGATTAATATTTCAGCGCTTAAACTGCGTAATCTCGGCAAATTCTCCTCGAGGTCGAGCTTTTTAAACATACCCAGACACAGAGAAAACTACAGTGAGGGAAAAATGACCCTGTTCAGTTACACAAGTGGGACTGTCACAATGTGATACTGTGGCGTCATCACAGTATCACATTTCAGAGCTTACATTCAGCGGTATTTCACCTCAGGAAAAATGAAAACGTCCTCATGGCAGGAGTTCAGTTTAAACCATCTGATTATTTCTGGCACTGTGACAAAAACACATTTAACATGGTTGTTTGTCGTTACACTCAACATCTCTGAGACAGGCTTGATTACCTCCCACTACAGAGTGGAGCTATTGTTTCACATCACTATAAAACTGCACATTTTCCCCGTTTTTTAAATACATTTCAGACACAAAAAAAACATGACAACAACAAAACCAGTAAAAGTATAAATTATTTTTACACTAAAAGCAATGCTACAGAATAGACAAAACAATAATAAAAAAAACAAAGAAAAAAACAGACACAAAGACAAAATCACCTATTAAGACCAACATATTATAGCTTTAAAATAATGGTACTTCCTACTGTAAGCATTAGACAGCCCAACAACAAGCACAAGACAGACTTCACAGGCAGCAGCCAAGTCAACACTAATTTTCAGGGGTCACTGCACCAGTACAACCAGCACATGACATTTAAAATCTGTCAACCATAAGATGCAGAAGACAGTAAATACAATAATCTTGATGGCAAAATTCTCTTCACCAAGCTTTGTAAAACACATGCAATTACATTTCAAACTGGAAGTAAAAATAAGAAAGGAATTGAAAAAAACAAACAAAAATAAATCAATGCATGAAAGTAAATAGCTCTTCTTCTTCAATGTGTGGCTCTTTAAAGGTCAGGCACAGCCTTGTGATATAGGAGCATCTTGTCTGTAAAAGGCCAATCCTTATAACAGGGCTGAAAGCAATGTTTCAGTGTCCAAGCCTGTCACATCAGTCACTTCGTGTTTGCTGTGTGGCAAAAACTTGGCAGGAAGGCGAAAAGCATTCCACTCCATTCCCTTCATTCACATCATCATCATCACTACCCGAGTTTCTGGTTGTATCAACTTCCCAGCTGGAGAGAAGGGGGACGAGGAGGAGGATAGACTGGAGGTATTGCACATATGAACCACACACACACACACACACACACACACACACACACACTCTTTTTCCAGGACTTTGTCTCCCTCATTTCCCCTCGTCGTCTCACATCACGTTTTCAAACAGCTGCATGGATCTCATCATAGTTTCATCCTGCAGAAAGAGATGGCAAACGACGACAACAGAATGATGCATTAAGCAATCAGATGTGTAACGTCTCCGTGTGATTCAACGGGCAGGAAGGCAGGCATGCTGTGGCTGACTGAAGACAACCGCTTTGCTGAATAGGTACTTTATTGAGGGGAACCATTAACTTTGACCTCGAACATCACAAGATTTTATCCCCCACAGAAGGCCTGTTAGCAGTTAAAATGACTCCATTCAAGCTGAAAAATCCCAACCGTATATCAGTAGTTCTATTTTATGAGTGGAATGATCCAATATTGCTTTGTAGTGAAAGTCATCTTTGCCTTTGATTGGTTTCCTGACCTCTTTATGCGGTTATGACTCCAAAAAATATTTAGTTTCATCCATCACATCAGATTGGAGGATTTTTTATTCATAAATAAAACACAGCTTGGGGATCGCTGTTGCCGGCCGCACAAGGACTGTCAGTTGTTGTTTAGCTGAATCATCCACCCTCTCTTTAAATTCAGGTTTTATGTATATTAACAGATTGATTTCTTGTACGATGTAGAAATAAAAATATGAACATAAGTGAAAGTAATACCAGCTACACTTAGTGGTCCATAGACATTGTTCTAAAATTCCCCCTATTCATTCACAATCTGTCTAACTGTGGATTGGTGGAGGACAAAGTCGCCAAAGACGTCTAAATAGGATCTACAGCTCATTTAAATTGGTCCTTAGAAATCTATTTTTTTCAGAATTCACTGGGAGTAAAAACACTAAAGCTCACTACAGCTCAAAGTTACTGAGCACAGCTGAAAACATGATGCTGAGACAGAAATATCAGGCATTGAAAGGGTTAATTCTAAAGCACCACAATGTGTGCAAAGGTTTTTTTGAAAACTTATATAAGAATGAAGATAACCAGAAAAATGGGATATGTTTCATCTTGTCAGGAAAAGCCATACCTCTTGACAGGCTATAACGAATTCCTCCAGAGTCACCACTCCATCTTTATTCTTATCCATTTTCTGTGGAAATATTAAGAGCAAATATTTTCATTGCCAGGTTGTAATGAACTTTTCTAACTCAAACTTTAAAAAGTGCACACCCTAACATGTAAAGCAGAAAATATTTGGACAATAAAAATTCTGTGGACTGTAAGGACTGTGAGATTATTATAAAGAAAAAAAACTAATCCGAAAGGATATCTGTATAAGGTCTTATTTACCTGGAAAAAGGCATCCACATGTTGCTGTGGGACGTCTCCTTTTAATGCAGGGTACGTGTACTTCCCCATCATGTCATAAATGGCCCTCACAATCTCCGTCATTTCCTGCAGGAACATGGTATTTTTTTGGTTTTAGTGCTGATTTGAGATCCCGTAAAACGCTTTTCAAACTTTGCCTCACACAGCCTCACCTCTCTGTTTATGTATCCATCTCTGTTGATGTCATAAAGATGAAATGTCCACTCCAGCTTTTCCCGAAGCGTTCCCCGCAGCAGAATGGACAGCCCCATCACAAAGTCCTGTCAACGGGAACAGCTTAAACTCACCAAACATGCGCTGCAGAGTTAGAGAATTAGTGAATGTTTTACACAATGATACTTTACCTTAAACTTAATGGAGCCATTGTTTGTAGTATCAAATGCGTTGAAAAGATAGTGTGCATACATGCTTGCATCTGCAACAACAGAGTTAAAATGTAAGATCAACTTTTTGCGAAACGCTTCACAAAGGAGCGAAACGGGTTAGAAAAATTGTCCCTTTTACCTCCGTGTGGGAAGAACTGTGCATAAATATGTTTAAATGTCTCTTCATTTACGACTCCGCTGGGGCATTCCTGAGGGAAAACATGATTAATGGATGTTACTCTACTTCTTGACTGTATTGTCCTGTGTTGTAAATAAGGAAAGTGGCAAAAGAATCAAAGTGTTCGGTTACGTTTTTGAAACCACGATAGAGAATCTGCAGCTCCTGTTTGGTGAAGTTTGTCTGGGCTTCCAGTTGGTCCAGGCCCTCCGGCCTGTAGCACACCATTGTCATCTCAAGCTCGTCATCTGATTTATCTACAGAGAGGAAAAAGTAACAGGAAGAAACATGCCTCATAAAGATTTCAGCAGGGCTTGTTAAACACAGGCTCTTGACAGTCTTAAGGAAGATGGACTATAAGAAAGCAGAAAAAGACAACTCAGCGAAGCTTGAGATTGTGAAGTCGGCAGGAAACGTAAAAAAAATCTGATTAGAGAGCGGAAAAGCGAATTCACAGGGGTGAGATGAAGCAGAAGAGTACTATGGCAAGGATGAGAAGAAAAAGAAAAAGAAACATGTGATCGGAGTCACGTGCTTTTGACAAATTAGGCTACCCCTTAGGTGTTAAGGCCTTTTATTAATGACAACGTGGGGCCCAGTATCAGGTGCTGTGGAGATGGATTGCGGTTAATGATGTGAGGAGATGCTTCTGCTCTGGGCAAGTGTTTGTCACTGTCAAAGACTCCGGATGCAGGTCAGTGCTAACACCTACACATCCGTCCACGGATGCAGTCTACACACCAATAAGGTCACAAACAATGTGTAAATGTATAGAAAAAAAAACTCTACTAGCAGCTGCAGGCCCTCAGGGAAGACAGTGAGGAAATTCAATCTGAAGCGTTGTTAAGTGTGGCAGAGAACGTTTTTTTTTAGTTTTTTTTTTTTTTTAAACAACTGGTGACAAAGTAACATATTTCTTAGAGGACCATACTAACATAAAATACACATACAGCAAACAGGAACAATTTCTGTGCAACATATTCACCCTTTTTGGATGGAGGAATGAATTAATGAATGCCATGCCCATTTGCCATTGGATTAATTTCCAACACTAACACATTGACTTATTATTGACACAATGTTACATCTTTTATGTCAAATATCACAAAACTAGAATAAACAAAAACAGTGGCTTCGGATGTTTTTTTAGTTTTTCAATATTTTTTAAACTAAGACGTGAGATTTCGATGGTAACAGAGATGTATTAATTCTCATCTGAAAAATATAAGCTTCTGTATTCCAGTTTCATTCAATCTTCCCCCCGTTTTCCCCTTATGCTCTTCTGGTCATCCCACGGCCTCTTGTTGTCATGGAGATAGACGTCCATGATAAATGTGTGCAGTCGTGTATATAATGGATAAAAAAAAGGCATGCACATTGGTTTGATTCCAGTTACGCCCTCATGTTGCACGACAACAGAAAAGCAAAGGTGTTATTCAACCCTTCTGCTTTCTATCTGGGGGCTTTGGGTTTCTGTAAATGCAACAGATGAAACGAAGAGAGGGTGCAAAAAGATAAGAGGCTGAAGTGTTGATTAGAGGGGGCTGAGGAAAGGAGGAGGGCTGGGAGGGAGAATAGCGCAGAAAAGCAAGACAAACATAGAGTGACCTTGTCTAAAGGGCTGATGAGCAAAGGGAGATTAAAAAAAAAAAGCATCAACCATAATTAATGATAAATTTCAGCTTCAGAAAATCATATTTACATCAAACGGGCAGGAAAATGGTTTCGTATGTTTACCAATATGATGATTACTGCTAAGAATGTAAACCTTCACAGACACCTCACTAAGAGGGAAGTGTTAGATGGCGTGATGGAGATAATTAGAGTGGGAATCAGCTTGGGGTACTGTCTCTTCCCGAGTGTAAACATCGTCTTGATGTCCGTGTGAAGCAAAGACTTGGAGACAAGTGATGGTCATGGAGGCAGGACGTAATAGTAAGTAACATCACTGTTTGGTTTGGTGGTTAAAAAAGGCTGTAAAAAACACAACAACCCTGGATGTCTTCATTTTGGCCCAATAAGTCCCTTTTAATCCTTGTGAAGATTGATTACTCCCTATAACACTTTCATCGTGACTGATGATTATATCTGTTAGCGGTTTGTGGGAAGAGGTTTTTCAAAGGGAAATTTGTTTTATGTCCTCAATTAATGGCAATCTATTCTTCTGCAGGGGGAATAAGACAAAAACAAAAGTAATTTCCTTTGAAGTGAACAGTTTAAAGGGAAAGTCATACTGATTAGGGTATTAGTGCCAATATGGCCTGGATTTAGTGGTTCTGCGTGCACTCTTCCATTGATCACATGCACTGACTGCTTCGCCAGTCAAAACTCTGGGAAATGTTGTCGCAGTTTAATGAGGGAAACTGGGATAAAAAGCATATCTTGTTCTGCCAGAGAAAGTCAAACAATGAACACACTGATCCCTCTAAAAAAAATTAATTATATCCTTTTTATTAAAATTCCGAGATCCTCTGATATCTTGCCAACTTTGTGTCTTTATAGATACTTTGTTAAGCCGAAACCTTATTAGATATAGTTGAAATACAATGAACTTCATTGAATAATGTTGGAAATGGATGATCACTGGGGATTCAGCGGTGCTGGTTTGATGAACGGGATAGCTGCAGCCTATTAGCTGAAGAGCGGAGAGACAGCTGGACAAGCTGGCACACACTCATCCAGCGCATGTGTGTGTCGGGCCAGATTAGAAAAGTACGGCTTTGAGGGTCAAATGAGTCAGCTCACCCCGCGCAACCTTTTTTAACTTCCATCTCTTTCACAGCTGCCTAAGAAGTATTAAGACCATCCATTCAGGTTCAAGAGCAATGCACACTTTAATCTTGATGTTAGAGTCCTCTGGGGAGGTTCATTTGGGCTATAAGGTGCCTCTAAAATACATTTGGAGCATACGATCTCAATGTGCTGGTACTTTATGTACACCATTTCTCAGTTCTTTAAAGTTTTTATGGTTATTGACTGTACTTCACTTAAATGCTTAATGTGTCAATTGCTTTGTAAGCGAGTTCTCTCAGTTTTTTTCTTAGAATTCACGATGAATCTACACAGTAGTTCTGACTCAACCAAAGAAATTAATCATATTCCTCCTATTTTGCCTTGCACCTATTTCTGTAGTTATATCAACCTCTTCAACGTATGAAGTGACAATCATCTGTGAATCCGCCCCCCCATAACTTGTGCTGTGATTCCTGGCAATCCATAGACCACAGATGTATCTACCATGCTGATATGTAAATGTAGAACGTCTGCAATGTTGCCCACTGAGAGAAACTGCAGTCTGTTTATATTTTTCCTGTTTCTTATTCTATTCTAATTCTTATCCGTCCTCAAAGGGATGTAGTCCTATCTGTATAGGCTTATCTCTTGCAATTCTGCACAGCTGGCATGATGACATACTTTTTAGTGAACATTTTGAATGAAGATAGACAAAAAGCAAAACAAAAGAAGTTTTGAGTTTGTGTCTTCTGAGTGAAGTTATAGAAGGATTTACTTTTGTCCCAAGAGATGTTACTTATACACCACATGATAATTACTTTCTCTCGTTGTTTTTAATCTGCCTTTCATGATTCACCGTTGACCCTGATGGAGTATCTGCACCCACTCTTTCTTTATGCCACTACAACCCAGTCTCCATGACAACGAGCTTCTCAAGCATAAGGCCAGGCAGAGGTATGATATGTGAGCTGCGTCTTAATACATCTGCTCGGAGTCGAACCCTCCCTCGCTGCGTGTTTCTTTTTTGCCTCGCTCACACATGTCGCACACATAATAGTAGAGTTGGAGGCTGTGTTTTTCAAGGACATCCTGGAATCGTATAGTTTCTCCCCCCGCCTCATTTCCACATTATGTGTCATAGATCATAACTCTGAGTCTTTGTTGGGACTTGAATTTCTTAAGCTCCTACAGTTCTGCTGACACTTCCTTCATTAAATATGCATGAATTCAAAATTTGAATAATTTTATCGATCCTTTTTCAAACAAATGAAAATAAAAATCAGTGCAACTGGTCATATTTTAGATGTGCCGCTTGAATGGAGACTAAATGTCCCGACATTTAGTACATATTATATTCTAAATCCTTGTTGTTGCTGACAAACGTCTTTAAAAGGACTCACAGTAAATCAATCTGTGGACATCTGAGAAAACAGAACTTCATATCACCCAACAGAGTATGAAGTACAATGCATCGAAGTGGACATCTTTGTCCGTTTTCAGTTGTTTCTATACATTCTGTGTATTTCTATCAACAGATTTTTTTTTTTGCTGCTCTTTTGTCCTCTGTCCCTGTTTGTCTCACAAATGTTGACGTACCTCTCGATGGTCTCCTCTGTTTTGTTTGCATGGTCAAAGTGCCCACCACTGCACCCATGTTGTCACCGTGGAAACCAGCCTGGTCAAACAACCCACAGAGCAACGGTCCACTGCTTAAATCGCGGGTTTTGTCAGCCTGTTGTCCTCTCTTGTTCTTCCTCCACGGCTCCGTTTCATAACAGGGCTTTTGTTCCTCTTTGTCTTCTCACTGGGTTCCAGATCTCTCACTGGGGGATTGCTTCCATCTTTGATCGGACTCTCTTGAATTTCCGATCCCCCCCCCCTTTCTCTCCAAAGACGCGTGTATACATGCACACTCACATACACGCTGAAGCTGCTCCTGCCTTTCTGCGCCACTCCCTCTTTTCTGTGCTCCACTCTAACTCAACTGCCAGCCTTTCCCCCCTCTTGTAAGCTCCCTGCCTCTTCATGCCCTTGTGCTACTGTGGAGAGATGCTGAAAAAAACACAACATGAGTGAGGTGACAGGTGATGATTGTTTTCTGAAAGATGATCCCATTGCCTTTTGTCTTGCTCTCTGCCACCTATTTGGATTTTCTCATCTTAGTCGTTTACTCAACCGAGAGGTTAATGACCATGCAGATTCAATACCAGCTGAAATTGGTGCTCTGGTCCCTGAAGGGAAGGGTTAACCATAATGAGCATGCAGATAGTTCAGCTGTGAAAGGCTACATTTTATGTGTGCTCATTGCTCACGAAGGGATTATGGGTAGACCTCTCTCTTTCTGCAGGAAGACATTAAACTCCATAAAAAGCCTTAATACTGATCAAAAAGAAGAATTTAAAGTAGATCCTGTGCAGTAAAGAGAGAAGCCTGAGGTGGGAGTGAGTAATTCTTGTTTTCATGTGACCATTGAACCTGAAAAATCAAGGTGACTGGGCATGGGAGTGCTCGTAAGCGGAGGCTGAAATTTGGTAGTTTCGCTCATTTCCCTCGATCTATATTTACCTTCTTTGCTCTATTCGGGGAGGGTTGGAGCTTCTCCCAGCAGCCATCAAACTGTAATCCCCGGAGAAAGACGTTTATAGGCATGGAATTAAGGTCTGCTTGTTCTTCCTTAAGTGTTCCAATCGGTGTGGACTGGAAATTTAAAGTTAAAGTTAATTCGCTCTTTGTGAAGGTTCCTGACCTTTATATTGGAGAAAAATGAATGCACACAGTTTTGTTGATTTTGTTTCTGTTTTAAAAAAAAAAGTGAATCTATGTTACAACTATAGTGAGCTGGATACAGTTAAAAAAAATTAAAGGAGTGGCACCTAAATGCAAAAATGAGAAAAAAATCAGAATAACAAAACACTCCTGCATATTTCATGGAAAACATTTTCCTAAAGACTGCTATTCTATATTTAATTTAACGTGCTCTCTTTTTTTTCCCCCTTTTCTTCCATTCAATTTTTGTTTCACTCAGAAAGAGACAAGAAAGACAATTACACCATTTCAGATTAACATTCAAGGCTTCATGTTGGGACGTTCCTGAATCTTCAAATCAAATATTTACAAAGTTTCCTGAAAAATCCAGTGAGCATGACTGAACATTGGTAGTAAATCTTGATTGTGTGAACACGACATCCACTTACAAACGTAATTAGGCCCAGAAATCAACACCCACATGTAAGACAAAAACGTGCACATGGAGAATCATGTACAAAGATTTCTGTTAGTTATCCAAATTTAGTGTTTTTAACATCAGTTTTCCTCCTTAAAGGAGATTGCACTTTCATAGCTGACGAAGAGTTGATTCTGTCTGGTTGTGTAAGAGCTCATACTGTTCAGTTTTTTAATCTCTACCTTTCTCCTTTACCCTTACAGTCCTTCTGATAATCTCCTCATCGGCAGCCACTGTACTTTGATGTAGCGGTGGAGAATTTGCTTAATTTTTTGCTCAGTGGTTCCCCCTGCAGTTGTGACTTTGTGACAAAAACAAACGTCCTGTTTGACCCTGCAAATGGACATGAATGGATGTGTGGACATTTTCAATGTGTTAAATGCAATAAAATGCTATAATTATCCCATAAAAATGTCAACCGACATTAAACCAAAATGATGAGCTCTGAAGATAAAAGCCAGAGTCATAAACTGTGATAACCCAGCCCTCTGGAAGAGGTCCATGATAGATTTGAGTTAGTTTTTTTTACATAAAAAAAGAGTGTGGAAATTATAGAACATGCAGTACTTTGCTTTTTCATCTTTTTCAAATGTATTCCTAAAAAGCGAATATACATGAATAAACAAAATGTACAAAAATTCAAAATTTAGAAGAAGGAGAAAGCAAAATGCTGTAAAGAATAAAAATATGCCTTTTATATGATAAAACCAAGCCAAGATTGAAAAAAAAGAGCATTTTAAGAGTAGTTTAAAACGAAGCTCAGTGATATACTCAGCTTCAACATTGGCAAGTCCATGCCCATGTGGTCTGTGCTGGAAAAGGGACAGTTTCCCCCTCTGGTCCCTCACTTAAACCAATCAGCATGCCAGCAAAGATCAACTTTCAAGCTGACTGGTGTCTACAACATTTACCTCCGGTCTCAGCTTTATTTTTGCCATTGAACTCCATTCTAAATTAGAGATAAGGACATTTCTCCATTTTTAGGTGAGTAAATGAGGATAACACTCAATACTAGAACCGGATAGAAGGGTCATGTAAAGTAATTCAGTAATGTCACCTACAGACCAACAGGTGGCAGCAAATTGCAACATTTTCTCAGAGAAAAGCAACTTGGGTGCATGCTGCAAATCCATTTGGCTTTTGGGTAAATCTACAATGATAGTTAGTACGTCTTCAGAACTTATGAGTTGTAGTCATTGCTACTCATAGCAGAAATAGGATAATTGCCCTAAATACATGTGCGTCCAACCGAAAATATGAATGACAGTTGGCAAACAATGTCACTGACCAAGATTAAGGTAGAGATTGGAGCACGCACATCGCGAAAGGAGGCAAGGGTTAAAGATAAAAATAAATTTAGGAGAGGGCAGTTACATAAAAGTATGTAGTGATGTGTAAAAAATTAAAACCACAGACATGCACTGTCAGCTCCAATCCACTGCTTTAGCAGCCACAGGAAAGGAGAGAGAGACAAGAGTGGGGAGTTGAGAGGGAGGAGAGCAGACAAAGGCAGAGTAACGCTGCTGTGAGTTTGGACCGGCCTAGATGCAGCAACAGTGACTCTGCATGTGATTCTGAGAGAGTTCATTCAGTGAAGGACTTTAGTTCTCAACCAGTCGTGAGGCTCTATGAAATGTTCAGTAAAAGGCTACGGCATAGATCTGACTAAACAAGCCACACTCAGCCTCAAGTGGGAGTGTTTTGTGCTTCACCCCATAGGAAAGAAAGAAGTGATTTGATAATGATCATGGGCTGCCAGTTCAGCATCAGTGCCAGAAGTGATAAATATCCCAGACTCTCCAAAGCCATAAGTCAACAGGTGTCAGTGCGTTCTATGACTACTGTAAAAAAAGAAATTGGCTCAACTAAAAAAGTGTCTAAGTGTCGAGACGAGAGTAGTTCAGCAGAATATATAAATCCATTCCTGAGGATGACATCGACACTTTATATTCTGGCTTCATTCTGGAGGACAGGAAAACTCCAAAACACATCATTTAAACATTAGCTCACAGCTTCTATGGGTGGCAGTTTTACCAATAAACACTCTGCACCTACACCTCAGTCCAGATAACTGAAATGGAAATCTATTTACATATGAATGCAAACACTCAGACACATCCTGATATCAATATAACATAATATAATACATCCAGCCATCACTGCAGCCATGGTAACCTCTAGTACTGGGACTGCTTATATATTTGACCAATGTTTCTTGGTGCAAGTGCAATCTATACGGTGCAATATTTTTAAAGTGCAGCGAGGTTCACTGGTAATTTTATTGAGCTGTCTTCTCAGTAACTGCTTATTTATTCACTGATATACACAGAATGTATCTGTGAATTTACTGCTGCAGTCTGACTGCAACATTTCACTTTCATATTTTTATTTATGTCAGTGATGGCGGTGCAGTGGATTTCATCACTTGCTGTATTGAATACCAGTGAGATAAATCAACCCTGCCGACAAAAACAATCTTTTCATAACCCAGGATACATAAATGCTATGGATTGTGTTTATCTTTTATCGATTATTATCGATTATCTATTATTCATAAGAAAACAGTGTTGTCTCTGACAAGGCATTATGTGCTGAACACGCTTAGAAAAGTAATCACCTAATTGTGTTTCCAGGGGTCCAAAGACTTGTCACTTGGACCTCTAATGTTTTGGCTTGAGGATTGTTTTGTACAGGTGCAGGTTACTCTATGATGGTAGACAGACTTTACCCTTCATGCCATACTCAGAGAGGGGTATAAAATGTAATTTAGTTTTAATTTGGAGCGACTTGATACGTTGTATGAGTGTGCTGATGGCTCACACTTTATGAAGTTTTCTCCCTTTAATACATTTTTTATTTCTTACTCACTTGGATGGATTAAGGGTCTTGAGTTATAATAGAATTTCCACAACACACACATCCTGTGTTCCTCAACCAGTGAACCTGTAGAAATGTAAAAAAAAAATTGTATTTGTGCACATAAATTGTAGCTCTCTCCACTTTATATTCAGATCCACTGTTCTAATTTCCCCAGATTATGATTTATGGTGTCCCATTTTCCTCACAACCCAACAACTCCATCACATTCCTATGCTAACCTAAAGCAGCCCCCAAACACACATCATCAGCACACCACCAGATAAATAAAGGGCGAAAACATGCAGAAAAACACTGTGCTACACCTCTGTTTCAAAGAGAACACCATTCTTAACCTGGTTGTACTTTTTTTTATCTCGGCAGAGACCCTAAGATAAGTCATTCCTTAACAAAACCATTCTTACAAGTAAAAGAAGACTAAAATTACAACACCCCACCATGGAGATATGAATAATAGCACGTGTCATGTCAGTTCCAGACCTGAGGCATATCATTAGACTTATTTACTTATGTATACACTTATTGTTGCCCTAAGTGAGCTATTTAAAGGTCTAAAGATGAATTTGACTGTAGCTGAATTAGTAATAAGCATAATTTTTAAAGGTGAGCAGTTCAGTGTAAAGTTCATGTATAAAATGTGTAATTTGCTAAACATTACAATGTGCATAGGTTTGCACATTTTCTTGTCTTCTTTCATGCATATAATATAGCATGCTTAGTCTCTGCTGTAGTCTGCAGTGCTGACATTATGCAACATCATAATGAACAAATTCTGTGAGCTTAATTTGGAAGAAAAATCAACCATGAAAACAGGCTCTTTTCTTTGTGCTATAGTGTTTATATTTCTCCTCTGAATTTATTTGCATGAAACAAAAAGCTCCTCAGCTTGTGATTTCTGCCTTCAAGTTCGCCATGATCAAATATTAATACAGCACAATAGAATCACACATAGAGTCTATATTATTGCAACCAAAAATGATGGGCCTTAAACCAAAAGTAGTTGAAAGTTTCCACTGTGGGATAAAACAATGGCTTTCTTAATGCAATGCAATCTATATCTTAGCAATGTATCTACAGTTTTAATTAAGTCGTTGACATTTAATTATGAAACGGAATAAAAGCACAGCCTTTATGCAGCTCAGTGCAGAACCATCTTGTCGTTATGTCAGAATAGGTCAGAGGCAGGTGGGAATGGTGGCAAACATTAGCAAAGACACAATATCAAGTGCCTGGGATTCTGATAAAAAGTCATGGTCCATGTCATTAGATACTCGTATATAAGGGAAAAAGAGGTCAGGATTACTAATGCACATTGACAAAGTACAAAAGTAAAAAAAATGCAGGAATCTCATTATATTACATATTCAAGCAGTTATGATTAGCTTCCCAAATGCAAATGCTTAGTAATTTAGTCATTTATAGAGCTAACACAGAGCTGTATTGCATGACCTAGATTGTCAACCCATGCAACCATGAGTAGGCTGCATTATTTTCAAAATAGCACAGAAGCTAAGCCACCGGTATAAAACACAACAACACTCTCAACACATTTTTTCTTAAAATTCAGATTTTTCTTTTTTCTTTCCAGGGAAAACATCCCATATAACAGTGCAGTGCTGCGTTTGTCCTTTATGATGATTTTTTTTTTTAGAAAGGATTTCCTGTTCCTACCTACACATGATTTACAGTTAAATAGAGTTAGTTTTTAAAAGTTTCGAGGTGGAGATAACAGTCTGAATATCTGTGAGCCATTCAGTGAAGCATTCTCTAGATCTGAACAAATATGACTTGTAAATAAACTAAATACTCATCAAAGCACAGAGTTACTTCTGTTTGTCAGGACTGACTCCCTGCTGCACTCAGATTTGGTGGCTCAGCATGTTTTTTTTTGCTGCTGAGATGAAAAGCAACCTTCAACTATACAGATTGTGAGGGTGTTGTGAAAAGGAAAGAACCAGAGCTTCAAACGTGCATCACAAGAGTAGCCTGAGGGGAGTGAATGGATGACGCCAACATGACTCACAGTTCAGTTCTTGAAGGTGTGCAAATATCAAGCAAAAATAATTAATGACGCCAAATCCATCGCCCTACCTAAACACAGTGAACCTTAGCTCCAGATTTATGCTAGCTTCATAGGTATTTATGCTTTCACATCACTGTCAAATTTTGTACCAGGAAATGAGACGGTTGGTAGGAAGGTACAGTAGATAAACAAACGCACACACATGTACTTTGGCAACAAGATGAATTGTTGTGGACATCTGCTCATGACCCCACCATTAGTTTCAACACTAAGTTCACAGAAGGATAAACAAACAACCAAACAAGTCAAGTCATCCCTGCTCCAGAGAATCGGTTTGATTATAGCTTTAAGTGTTGCTTTTATACAAAACACAATGAGACTAAAAATGACGGTGAAACATCTGTATTATATGACAGAATTACAGACACACAACATAGCATAAACAGATTTTTTCATGAATGCATACTTGGAACTTTTTAAGTGACTTTTGGCTAAAAAAGAACACTTTTTTTATTTTTAAAGAATCTCTTTTGTGTCAATTAATCTTTTGGATTGGTCTCAATTCAGACTAAAATGTCTTTTGACCAGATAAATGATAACCTGAAAGTAGGAACTCACTTTTGATTAGACAGAAAGCCTGATTAAACCATGTTGATCCAAAGTATGACTAAATGATATCAGCTGTTTTACACGGTGAATACATCTTTCATATGAAGTCTGCTAAGTGTTTAATCTTTAAACAAAATTGCGAGAAAACATAGTGCTACAAATGTCCTCAGTGCAGATGGGCTTACATTTTAAACTACATCGAATTGAATCAAACGCCACATATAAAGCATGGGAAGTGGCAATGCATTGGTAAATAAACGCCACGGTACCTTTGGTGAGGGTTCCTGAGACCAACCTCTGCAGGGACTGGATCAGCTTGAGAACCCCCTGCCTGCAGCGGCTGGTACAGCCAGCCATGATGGGGCACGAAGAGGGGCAGATGGGGCAGGTTTTCCTCTTTACGTGTCAAAGTGAGAAAAAAGGCTGTGATCTGCAGTTCCTCAGTTGCTTGTTCAGTGTGAGATCATCAGGTCCTTGGAGTGTCTTTGTAGAGAGTGACAGAAACAATAAGGCTTCTTCAGAACACTAAAATAAATTCATTTAAACTGACTCACTCACAATACTTTTTTGTGCATCTCAAAAGTCCATATCTCAAACAAACACACAACTGCACTCCTGGTCAAACAAACATTGGTGAAACACAAAGGCAGGTATAAGAATGATCCCCAAACTTCCATAGAGAGCCCAACAAGCAATTACCGACAGCAAAGTCAATGCAAATGCTTTGCAAATAATGGAAATTACAATTTTTTTAAAGAATTAAAATAAAAAAAATAAAAACCAAAACAACCAAAGTTGTAGGTCACAATCCAAAACGAGGAAGACACTTAAAGTAGAACATAAAGAGCCTTGTCCCCCAGGAAGTTCCAGTAATCTAAATGCAATCTCGCTCAGTTATTCTCACCTTCCCTGCAGATTTGGACGATCCCTCTGTTCTCGTCTCCTTCCTCGTCTTTCTTCTTGGAGTATTTCTCCGTCCTGTGTAGCGCATATGTCTGTGTGAGGATATCCCCTCAAACTGCAGTGGCAGCCCTGCGGCTGTGGTCTGTGGAGGAGCTCAGCTCTGATGCTCAGTACTGCAGAAAAGCTCCAGCAGCCACCACTGCTCCCACCCCTCTTCCCTTTATGGTCCCTCCTCCTGTCTTACTTTCACGCTTCCTTTCTTTCTGTCGAATTGATGCTCCTTATTCTGCACACAAACCCAGACACACACGCACCATTTAATAAATGTAGTGTTAGAGGTTGGTGGTTTACCTGTTTAGGATGAAAGTGCAAAGCTGAAAAGGTCATCCATAAAACAAAACAAACATATGCTCTTGATGAAATGTACACAATTTAAGACCTTCAATTCAATTAGACATAATCAACTCACTTAATCTAAATGAATCACCTGTCAAGACTCTCTTCCAATTTCATGAATCCTCATTTAAATGCTTTAAATGACGTTTTCTGTCGGACTGGGGAACAGAATCCATTTAGAAATGACAGGCTGTGATCTCAAAACTCTGCTTGGTACCAAAGCAAAACACAAACCTGCAATGGCCCGATTTGCATAGCCATCTACTCTGTGTAAGAGTCACACCAGAGCAGGTTCTGTGAGCCCAACATTTGCTTTTTGTTTCTCACTCCAGTGAACTGGGGGAATGCTGGGGGATAGCATGACGCAGTGCAACCTCTGTCCATTTGCTCTCCCCGTCATCTTGTCTATATTTAATGTTAATAGATTCTATTTATCCACTCACAAACACGCGGTAGCATTTTAGAAAGTCTAAATTTAAAGGGTGACTGTGCCCTAAATGTCACAAGGCTGAAAAAGAGAAAACAACAGCAAGAAAAAGCCGTAGCTTTCGTGACTCAAGCGGGTTTGCTTGCTGAATCTTGTTTATATCCCAAGAGAGGAGCACTTCACTTGAAGAATCAGGTGGAAAAATAAAGATAATCGCAGCACAAGTCACACGATCAGATCAAAATGACATCCTGATACTTTTCAACATCATCATGCATAGTCATCCTACAGTTTGTGTAGTAAACAAGTGAAAGCAAAAATCTAAAATGAAATGAAGTATAAAAACTCCCCTGTCATGTTTTTGTAACCGTTTCAATTACTGCCAGTATTTGTACTGTAGTGGCATAAATCTCTCTTTATGGCTTCTCTCTACAACTCGAAAAGCAGCTGCAATTAAAAATCTCGCCCACAGTCATTTACAGTGTGGGTGTATTATAAAGTGAGAAACAACAGTGTGGGGTTCTGCAAATGCTTTAAAACCAGAAAAGGCTTTTTTTTTCACACCACTATAACTGCAGCACTATAAGCCTGAGGGGACAGCATCTCTGCGGAGGAAAGGTTGCAGAAAAAAAAGCAAGACGGTACACGGTGGTGGTTGCTTTTCAGTCCTGACCAACAAAATGATGAAGATCAAGTGGTCGAGTTGATTTTACACACACAACCTGCAAAGAGGCACCGCGTGGTAGGACCTGACCACGACCCAACGTGGCTCACTATGTAGTGCTGAGTCAGCAGTAGTGTTAAAGCCGCTGGAGGTACACTGCAAAATGCTTCGGCTGCAAAGAGGTGCAAATTGACTCGTCGTGACGGGTATTGAGAAGCCAGCAAGCAGAACTCAGACTTATACTCAGAGCACAGATGAGAGAAGAAAAAAAGTTAAAACAAGGCATGTGGTAACCAAAAAAATGGGCAATCCCTAACCCTAACACACCATTAAAAACTGCAAACAAACATTTGGCCATTTTCTTAAAAACTTTATATCACTTGTCATAGAAAAAGACTGAATCAGAATTAAAACAACTTAATATATTGATATTTAGGCTACTTTTGTAGTCACATTGGTCACATTTTTATGGTGCGTTTTTGTGCAGTGAGACTGATTTACCATGGCCATATCTGAGAGAGCTAATAAGACATGAGAATTGGCAGGGCAGCACAATCTCCGTCTGCCTTCGGTCAAAACTGTTTAAAAGCAGAGCTATGGATTGAGCCTGACTGCAGACTGGCTGCAGATGGACACTCTGCCCCATGTTAAGTGTTTCCCCTCTTAAAATAAACTACAAAGAACAATGAGAGCACCACCCCAACGAGAAGGAGGAGAGGCAGACGTTGAAGTGAATCACTCTTTCATTACCTACTTGACTTTTTTGCAAATAATTTGTGAGGAAATTGCTGGAGATTAGTAAAAATTGGCGTGAGAATAATAACCTACTTACTTTAGTGACATGAACTGAGGTGAGAAAGAGGTGTGTGAAGCCACTGTTTTGATACCTGTTTGATACCTCATCATCGTTATTGATACCAAAGAGTAACAAAGAGGATATGTTCCATTTTTTTTAATTTTTTATCTGTTTGTAACCAGAATTATTAAAAGTATTTAAAGATTTGGTTAGTCATGGACGTTTGGGACTTGTCGATAACAGAGAATCTTAAATGGAACAAATCACAAACAGAACGGAGTTCATTTAAACCGAATCACCCAGAGTTAATGCATAATACACACACACATGGTGGGTGGGTCCTGCTGTGAAGCACCCGATGCCTCTGTCAATGTGAGCTCACCAGTGTGAATGAGTCAGTTCGGCTTGGATAAACTGTACCAAAGCATATGTGAATCCAAGCTGTCTCTGGGACAAGTTTGTTGATGATCTATCAGGTGTTGCTGATGATCCGTAACTCTATAAGTGACAGAGCTCGGTGTGGATTTAAGGTCTTAAAAACAGCCTCCTGCTATATTATTAGGAAGTCTGTGGATACTTTATTTAGGACAATGATGGCACATCCTCAAAAAGTTCACATGGGATTCATTCACCTTTTTGTACGACAGCACAGTCTCCACAACAGCTTCAAAGCACCTTGTGACCCCCTTCGCCTTTTTATTTGCTTCTTGCAATCATACCTTTCTCTCAGAGGCCATTAACAGCCACGACAAGGTTGACACGGCAAACCCAGATAATTCTCCGGTCTAATTTCTGCATCACTTCTGGGGTCATCTCTCTATGGTACTGTCAAGTAGCTTCTCATCACGTACATGACCCAAAGCTTTCATATCATCATAAATCATGTCACGGAGAATATTAGATTTTAAAAAACTAACACTGATCAAGGATCCACAGCAACATGAAGAAAAACACGACTTTCAGTATGTTCTCAAAAAGATGTTTCCTGCTGGCATTCAAATGTAATAACACATTGCTCGCTCCAAGTTTAAAATTAATCTCTCATCACGTTGAAATTGGCAGTTTAAAAAAAACAAAACATGCTGGCAGCAAAATTTCACCACATTTATGGTCATCATTACAGGAAATGAAAAAGAGTGAGAAATAAAAAAACAGTGTCCATGGTGATTTCCCTGCAATAAGTAAACTCAGAAAAAAGTAATCCTTGAGCATTTATCTAAGGGGAACATTGTTGCCATAGTGAAGTCCTTTCCTCATGGGGGAATTTGTAGAGCTGAAACAACAGATTTATTTAATTGTTTGAGAGGGTTCCTTTGCCTTTCTTTTACCATTACCCTTTGTGGGCGAATCCTCTCATTTTCTACTCACCCTGGTTACCTGCTCAGTGCTCTCAGTCTGGAAAAAAAGGAACAAAAATGCTACAGGGTGAAGAAAGAAAAACAGCTGACCCCTGCTGCACCACTGTGTTGCCTCCCACACTCATATATTAAGCTCTCCAAACCCCCGCACTGAGCATGCTCAGATGAACCTGCTCCAGGAGCTCCAGACAGGAGTTTAGCAGTTATCTTCTCGCGGAATGAAGGGAAGGGACAGGATCAGTGGGAGGCCATGTAGCAGGATGGGGTAGAGCCAAAAGCTAAACCCACACTAAAATCTTCGCAAATACAATATTCATAAAGTCACTTAAACCAAAGATGGGCTCACGTCCTACATACTTTCATAGTGTGTGAAGTATTTCTGCATTTTCACACTCCTGAAACAATGACTGAATAGCATTTAAACCATGCCAGCTAAGTATGTCAACAATCCAAAAATTAATAATTATAGTGAGTCAAGCACATTCACATTGTTCCACAATTAGGTCTCAAAAAAGTATGTGTTTTCCTCTTGCCCTAATGGTCCAGGTCAGTGTGTGTGTGTGCTGTGTCTTAATCTTCTTAATAAAGAATAACTTTCTACAGCCTTTTGTGTCTTGACACAGGGATAGAAAAACGTTTTCACAACTTCCAATGATCTTTGTGAAACTTGAAGGAGAAAGTTAGTGTATACTGCACTCTGGTGGCAGTACATAGTTCGCTCAGAAAAGCCCTACATGGAGCCATCATAGCCTCTGTGTGCTGCATTTAAAACAACTTACTAGACAGACTGACAACTATATATTTTATAAAAAGTACTTGCCGTTCATGCTAAACCAATTAGATTGTGTATGGTTAAATCAGCGGTCCATTTAAAAAAGGACAGATTACCTCGGATCTCCTACTTATTTTATTCGTGTCCAATATCTTTTTAATCTTCCTGCATGCATGGTATATTTCAAGCGGACCTAAGGGTTTTGGATAGTCCAAAGAAACCTGTGGAAGAAGGTTCAGGTGATGTGTTGTGATACTGTGCTTTAAAGTCTTGCTCTTCCTTAAAACATATAATAAACAAAAATGGCTGAAGCACCTCTATTATTGCTGTACTGAATGCTACTTTTTTCTGTTTATATGGTTCATGTGTTTTAGATTCTATTGGGCTATGTGTTATCTTTGCACACAAGTGGGGCAGGGAACACACACTCCAAGGCAATGTTGCTGCTCTCTATTTTTTGTGAGATGGGACTTTATTTATCTTTGTGCAGTTGAGATTTGACTTGTCGGATCACAATGTACGAGTAAACAGAGATATCGTAAATGAAAACAGGAGACCGAACATCTATTACCCGCGCTATCTTTGTATCAAACTCTGTTTACACAGTAGGACAAACACAATATTGGATTAACACACCTCTGAGGTAGCAACACATTTCCAGTATGAATCACAACAAATGGTACTACTGTGGCTGTCTTAGTCTCTGGACCTCGATTAAACATTATTAAAAAGCATGTTATGGTCTCAGTCAGCTTTCCAATAATCTACTGACTGCCTTGTTGTCTGATAATCAAAAGCACTTTTTTAAAATTCTGCATCATTTTTATTGGTCAGTGTTTTCTGTGGTGCAGCCCGGGTTATGCAGTCAGCTATTTACAATAAAATATTTACAGAAGCAAAGAATCAAGGTGTGATGTATGAATGTTAATAACACTTGCCATTACAAATACATTTATCGCAAAACTGTTGCACATTTATACAACATCCACCTACATAAACCTATTTTTTCTGTTGTAAAATAAGTCGTTTAGGTAATTTGTTGTATATGTTTATTTGTGTATTATACATTTAAATAAGGCGTTTAGATATTATGTTTGATGTGGGATGACTAATTCATACATATTCATTCACAGTGGGTGGAAGGTCGACATTCCAGGGCTTTTTAAATAATTGATCAATATTTTTATCACAAGGAATATCGAATAAATTCATTTTTGAACAGGAAGTTGCATACACACAAACACACACATGAATATTGCATGTTCAATGGATTTTTACGGAAGACAGGGATTAAGCAAGAATTGTCTTGTACACATAGTGTGCTATATAAATAAACTTGCCTTGCCTTTTGTGCCTGGTCTGGATGAAGTCAAGCTTATGTAGTGATTTACCTTTTGCTGAGGCCTATTACTGCCCCTGCTGTGTGCACAGGCAGTAAAATGAAGATACGGTTGATCATTTAAGAACAGGATATTTTGGAAATATTTGATTTTCCATATTTCCAACTAGTTAATTCCAGGGTTTTTATCTTTGATGTGTTGCAAAGAAAATATATTGAACAATTTCTGAACTCCAAGTACATATTGTATATATCATAAATATGACTGATGTTTAAGACAGGGCTAAATATGCTAGCTAAAGCCTCTGATAAAACTAGAATCTCAACCCTGTCCTGTAATCAGAGTGCCAGAAATATAAGGTCAGCGGTGTAGAACACTGATGGAACCTGCTTTACCTAATGGAGTTCCCAAGTTTGTAAAAGCAAATTCATAATACTAACTAATCTTGGAACCTAAAACAAGAATGACTTTACTTCTTCTTAGATCTTAAAGACTGGAGGAGAGTGGTGTAGTGGTTAGCATAGCTGCCTTCCAAGCAGTTGACGTGGGTTCGATTCCCGGCCAAAACAGCTCCTCTGGACCCTGTAAGTCACTTTGGATTAAAGCATCTGCCAAAATGCATGAACATGAACATAAAGACGTTGCATCTATATTCTTCTATTAAGAAAAGACAAAACCTTTTTGGTGGAGGAAAAGAAACGGAAAAAAAAAAAAGATGAAAAGATGATAAACACAAACAGGAGCAGCACTATGTAACCTTTATTATGTTGACAGGCACCCACAAACATGATCCCTTTTGACTTTCTAAAGCGTTGAAAAGCTAAAGCATCAGCAACAGCAGCGACCGGAGAGCGGTCCACAGCACAGACTTTCCCCTAATGTGACAGCACAACATTAACACAATTCAAAGAGCGTTTGTCAAGCTCCGATGCAGAGTGGACACTAAATCTGTTTTACCACTTAAACTTTCATGTGTGTCTCCTTTTGTTGTTAATTTTAAAAGTTTGCCCCAATAACAGCTTACCACTGAGCTAATTATGAAGTTTGACATGTCAAAATCTGTTAGCCACCTTGAGCTTGAGGCACTAAAATATGCCTCAGGTGAAGTTCACATGTGTACACACACAAATTTGGGTCTTTTGCAGACATTGAAGGAGACAATGAGATGTCATGTTGCAGAAAAGAAAAACAAATGCGGATGTAACAAATGCATATGCAAGAATTTGCATATAGACAACACGTGTGGATGACGTTCATACATACTTCATACATGGAATTAGGAAAAGACTGAGTCAAAGGTAAATATACCTTGTTGTTAACTAAAGTGTAGGGTAACTTTTTGTAGTTAAATTGTTTGTGTAATTGCACTGTTCTTTTTAGACTGCAAAAGCAGTCTTCTCCCGGTCATTCCATTCATATCAATATGTACATGTAAGTTCCTCTGCATAATCTGGTGCGGGCAAATTCCAATAAATGAATTATATTCTTCAGTTGAAATCCCTCCTCAACAGCAAGGGGCAACAAGATCTCCAAACACAAGTGAAATACTTACGGAGTATACAGATGTATTAAAAGTGAAGATATTATTACCTAATTAAGTGCAAATTAGTTTATTACGTTTATGTTGTGCATTTATTTACTTGTTTCCAGTTAGGTGTTGTTTTTGACAAATAAGACTAATTTACCTTTGTACAAAATCGTTTGTCTACCAACAGTGTCACCAACATAAAGTGGATTACAGGTATCACAATTTGAATTTGCATTTCATATTGAGATAATATTATTCTTTACTTACTATTGTTGAGCATAATCAAGTGTACTTTTGTGACAGTACGTATCGTTCAGATGCACTTCATCTGTTAAAATGTCCAGGAAGTCCTTTAGGTTATCCAACTTCAGGTCATGTCAAACATAAACATGTTCTGCATTTTAAATAAACTCTCTGGTCACTTATTCACAGTCATTGGCAGGACTGGAGGGGAGAGAATATAAACACTCTGCCAACTTTTAACAAACTGTACCTCTATGGATTTTTGAAAAAAAGAGCAGGTTAGAAATCCATTCCGCTCTGTTAAGTTAAAAGATTAACTGTAACAAATGCATTCCAATACAGCAAACTTTACCAAGTGGGTGATTTTAAGGAATCAGCAAAGAAATGTGCCCTCTTCATCAGACATTAGACTTCCACATTTAACATTTTGTTCAATCCAGTTCACTAACAAAAAAAAGCTGTGTAACATTCATTGTCTTTTTGCCTTGAATTTATAATATATGGCACTAGTCACCAAGAATCCAACTCACCTGCTGGTCTGATAGTGTGAATGGTTAAAATCTTTGTATTAACATCCACCAATGAAACAGTTCCCACAGTACTTTCATCATGGCTCACCATGGACACCGTCCATCTTATGCTAAGTGAGGTTATTGTCCTCGGTTTCAATCTTAGCTGTGTCTATGTGTTTCTGAGACTGTTGGGAGACCCTGAATTCATTCACGAAGGCGAGTCGTTTGTCCAAAGGCACACGCGTAAACTGCAGTTTTCTGCACTGAGGTCCTCTGCAGTGAAGCAGCTCTCCATAGGCCTGACGGAAGTCCCTGTTGAAGGCTGGGTACAAAATGGGGTTAAGAGTCGAGTTGAAATAACCCAACCACAGGACGATGGAATGAAATATATTAGGGGGATTTGCCTTTTCTTTAATGCCCTTGCATGTGAAAAAGGTGAAGTAGGGGAACCAACAGATGACAAAAGCCCCCAACACAGCTGCTAGCGTCACTGTGGCTTTGTGCTCTCTCGCTATGGTTGCAGTTGCTGAGCGGACGAATGCTGGAGTAGTGGCGCGAATACGCCGAACCTGAAAAGGTGGACAGAGATAGAGAAAACTGAAATTTATTGTTGGACTGAGCCGGCTCACTGGCTCAACAAAAGCTAATATGAATCGAATGCAGTCGCCAGTCCATTACAGAAGTACACAGAGACAAACAACCACGTACACTCACATTCACTCCTGTGGGTAATTGCTTCAGCAAGCTGTTGTTGGGGAGAGTATGCAAACTCCACAAAATAAAGGCGTACAACTGCTCACTCTCACTGCTCTATCCTTGTATATCTTTTAAATAAATGTTATTCATTTAAAATCAAATAAATTAGTTATTTGATTTAGAATAATCACTTGTCATCACTGAAGTTGCATCAATAAGGAACCTGTGGAACTTAATGACCTCCTTTCTCAAATAAAGGGTGTTCCAGTGTGTACTATGCTGATAAAGATCTTCAATGAAGCACTGGAGCGAGTGAAGCATTTGTTTCTACTAACATTTGAATAATATATGATAGAAATGGTTCTTTTGCTGCATTTTATGCAATTTTCATGGAAAATTACCAAATTAAAATATTAAAAGAGCCCGAGGTGCATCAAAAGCCATCTTTTCCTACCACTGTTCTCTAAGAAAACTGAAAACTTCTGTTAGTTGTTTACAGCTGAAAACTACAACCTGTTTGCCCTAACAGTGACATTTTTTAATCTAATCCGCTAACACGTGTTAGAGTGCTTTGTAACTGAATGAATGTAATTCAGAAGTAAAAAGCTCTTGTCACATGTGGGTGTTTAACTTAAGTCATGAATGACAACTAAATCCCCCTCCAACCTGGTGAGAGGGTTTTGCAGGGGAAACACTTGAGAAGGGCACATAGTCCAATGTGGACATGTGCTTCTGAGTGGTATTTGCCCTGTACCATTCAAAGGGCTGTTTTACTCATGTTTAGGGATTTGAAAGAGCAACCTTTATATGAACATATCAACTAGTAAGGATGAGGTCTGTAGTTGAACAAACGTGTTCAGCATTATTCTGTGTTTCTAGCAAAGCATTTCTGTTAAAGAGTGTAGTGCAGCAATCAGTCAGGGGGGCTCTGTATGAAGCCCCCTACGATTTGATATTTAAATTAACAGGAAATACTGACCTGTTCTCGTGCCACTTTGAAAATGCAAAGATACATCCCACACATGAGCAACAGGGGCAAGTAGAACGAGACAAAGGCGTATATTAGAACATAGTTGTTATTCCACTCAAAATGACAGTAGCGTCCCTCTTTGTCCTCGTCTCCCATCCCCCAGTCGGAGTGCTGTATGTTGTAGTCTGCTGTGTTCCAGCCCAGGTTAATAGGCACAAAGGCCACTGCGGAAGACAACACCCAGATGGAGATGATGGCCAGGGTCACTCTTTGACGGGTAACTCTCCGCGAGTGGCTGAGGGGAGACGAAATGGCCAGGTATCGGTTCACGCTGATTGCGAGGAGGGTCAGAATGGAGCACGTACACAGCATGACGTCCAGCGAGATGTAGATGTTACACAGAGTTCCTCCGAAAGGCCATTTCCCACCATGGAGCTCCACAAAGGCAGATAATGGCAGCACCAGCAAGCCAAGGAGGAGATCTGCCACCGCCAGAGACACCACAAAGCAGTTTGCAATTCTCCATAGTCGCCGGCTGAGTCCCACAGCCAAGCACACCATTACATTACCACCAATAGTCAGAATTATAACAAACACGAGGAAAAGCCAACGGACAGCTGTGGTAATCATAATTCCTTCAACTTTAGGGTCACAGCTGTTGTTCTTGTCTCAGTGGGAAATATCTAAAAAGGCTCATCCACTTAGCAAAGCGTTCCCTGCCACCACTCGCTCAATTTTCCATCATGTAACTCCTCTCCTTGCGTCTGTGTGGAAAGGAAATCAAGCTGAGAGGCGGCTCACTCAGGAGAAAACATCTCTTAGCCATCTTTTTGGGTCACATTGCCGAGGTCCATGAAGTAAACACACTGCTGGAAAACAAAGAACAAAAGGGATTAGTTTGAAAGTGAACAACACCATCTAAATATCATCTTATTTAATAACTTCAAAAGTAAAATTGAGTTAATCTATGTGACATTGAATTTAATTAAATAGTCTTAATGCTGCTGCCTGTTAACATTATATGGAAAGGTCACTTGGCAATAAGTCAGAAACCAGTAGAGTTTCAGGTAAAGAGCGTTCATATGCCAAAGACAGGATATCATAATCTATTACAAATAATTCTGTTGGAGGAATTACACTTAAATCTAAACTGACAAAAGAAAAACAAGTGAAAGCATCCAACAGCACCGCTGAATATAAAGGGGTTTTATTTTTTTCCTTGCGTCACATCTGGAATATCAAAAACCCCATGTACAGAGCAACAAAATGTTATCAGTTTTTATTCCTCCTCAGTTACTCTGATTTAATCATATTTATTGTTTTTTCACTCGTCCAAAAGCCAAAGATGAACCACAAAAAATGAAAATATATGAGAAAAAATGGACCTCTTCATTTTATGAGCTTCTGCTTTCCTGCTAATACTGATGAATGGAACTTATGACCAGCACAGGACGTGCTTGATGACAAACAAGCTAAAGCAATTTTCCAGTGAGGCCTTATTCAATTGAAGAAAATCAGCCTGTGTCGCCACACCATCACTCACAAGATTGTTCCCTCTTTGAAAGCAGAAACAGAAAGTAGGGACTACTACACATGGTCAGTACGACTGAATCATTCTGAGGAAGCTTTCACAAGTGTTCAGTTGTGATTCATCATCAATTCTTTTCAGATTTCCGCAACACGTTAATCCCAATAAAAAAATCCTGTTTCATCCATTGCCCTGACACTACTTCTTTGTTATGATTTACGCATAATGTTCACACCCATTGCCTAAAATATGATCCATTGGTCAGTAGTTAAATTTAGTTGACTTCTGTACTTTATTTCCCCTGGATCAAAGTCAGATTTTTAAGAGGTAAAACTATGTTACTAAAAATGAATGACGTACAGAATTTTTTGGCAGAAAACTCTGACACCCCGAGACATTGGATTATGAATAACCTGGACTAAATGGGCTTCAGTTTTACCACAAAAACAAAAAAACACAAGCTGAAAAAACAGTTTACATTAAGTATGACGATGAGGATGACGTACAAAATTCCAGCTTTATGACACATGTTTCTAAGCATCTGTTTATTTTAGGTACGTGCAAAGTGTGTCCAATTTCAGTAGCTGTAAAGCAGCGCTATCCAAAGGAAGCAATGGATCACCAGAATCTCTTTTATCTTACAATGTTTGACAGTGCTTCCTGCTTTGTTTGGGGCTTTTCCCAGTACAACAAACTTCACTTTGTAATAACAAATGAGAAAATATGATTTGATGATAGCAATGAAGATAAGAGCAGTGGCCATAAAGTGATAATGTTTATGTTTTTTAATGTATTTTCATGAAAATGGTGGTGTTGTTCAAACATTTATTTTATTAGAGTACCATAAATCTGCCATAATTCAGTTCTTTTTTTAAACTGTAGAAAGGTTACAGATAATTTTACAACTATAAACGGTGTTTAGAGTATCCAAGATGCCTTTCCATCCCTTAATTGAAAAGGTAGAAATGATCAGTGGACTATGCCCCATATTTTGAACGATGTGTTTATGATAAAGATATATGTAGTTAAAGGGGCGACATTAATTAATAATAAATAATAATTTATAATAATGATAATAATAATAATAATTATGAATAATTAATAAGTATAGCTAATTCCAATTTATATTTATTCTTATTATGTCCATATTCGAGATAAGATTAAAACTATTCTCATTAATTGACATTAAACTGATTATTCATTACTATGATAAATTTGATAAGTTTAGAAGTAGTAATCTTTAGACTTTTTTTATCCTTTCTCTATATGTCAGTTGATGTTGAATTGATGTGAATGAGCATTTCTTTAAAGAGTATTCGGCCACAGAGAAAATCCAAGGTTTTCAAAAATGTCAACAGATTTTCTTGTTTCTATAGAAACGACTTGTTCAGCAGCAGCAGAGTTTAAATGGAGCCACGTCCCTTCTCCTAGTCTTTTAATGCCTTGAAAAAAAACAAGTATTTACCGGTTCTAAAGCACTCAGAACAAAAAGGGAATAGTTAAAAAAAAACTCTGATATGAGAAAGTGTTTTTGTGAACACTTTAACTTTGTTGCATCACTGACTTTCCACCAGATATGAACCAGGTGAAAAAAACACACTTGCAATGCACGGCCTAAGATCAGTTTACACTTTGTTTTAATAATTAATTTCCTGCTCCTTACACACTGCGCTCAAACATTATGAGCTTAAAAATGAGCCTGTAATGTCTAAACCTGTAACAATCATGCAGTTCGATTACATCCACGATGGCTAAATGAAACTTTTGCACAGATGCTTAATGACACCACATGGCACAGGTTAAATATATCATCATCTTTTAATGCCACGGACTGCACAGGACATTATTTCATTGCTTGACTTATTGAATAAAAATGACAGAAAGTAGTCAGCCGTTGATCTGCTCTCCTATGATCATCTGTAAATAAATGGCATCATGTTTCTGTTCAATAATATATGTGAATACAATTGTAAAAGGACCTTAGCATTCTAACACCCTACATTATTAATTAGGTACGTGAAACAGCAGTGAGAAATAAATATGTAGATGACACAAGGGTGGAAGAGTTAGAAAAAAGAGCAGCTAAGCACATTTGCAACTGTATCCAGAGGATTACTGTTTTGCCTCAGTTTGTTAAACTGATGTTCACTCTAAACCCTTTCAGGGATTCAATACTTCATGTTTTCTAAGTAAGAAGACAGACTTTCTCAAGGTCTTCGAAATACTGAGTATCCCCGCTGCTTTATTTTTTTTGTAAAACATCTTCATGAATCCCTGGGAAGAGCAAAAAAAGAAAAGAAAAGAAAAGAGATCTATGGTTTAATGCTAATGAAACTTTACATTTAAGTGCAAAGTTAACCATAAAAACACCATATGAATTACAGTGGTAAGATAAGTATACTTTGAAGGACATAAAAGAAAGAAATATTTATCCTTGTATTAAAAAACACGTCATCTTACTTTTCAAATGAAAACATCAGGTAAAATATTCATAAAAATCTCAATATTTCAATACATACTTTTTTGTATTAATACTGCTAATCATGACTAAGCCACCTTGTTATGCCTAAACTGTGAATGATTAACCAAAGAAGAAGAGACATGGTTTAATCACCAAGCAACATGTGCATTCATTCAGTGCGTGACTGAACTGAACAACCCCATCTCTTTTTTTGGAATAAGCTTCTTCTTTGGCAATGCAAACTCCAAAAAAAGTAACATTTAGTGAGAACGTTTTACATGGAACAAGTTTGCTTACTCACCTCACATGTTCACCCCATGTATCCAATCCCGTGCTTCTTTGCAGGGCAGAAATGTTCTCTGGTTCCTTGGTCGTGCATATGAACAAACTTTTTTCTCACTCCCTCTCTCTATGTCTCCTCCCTCACTCTCCCCCCTGCCTCTGTTCTCACAGATATAAAGGACACGTGTCACAAGCATATCCCCATAGCTCAGATAAAAGGCTCATGATGCTGTGATAGAATATGTTATCAGCAGCTAGCAATGTGAGACTGGAATTATAAATACATGCTCTGTCAATGTAGTGACATGGCAAAGTCAACACAATTCAGTACAGCAGTTGTTAACTTACCAGTGTGAGTTAACAAAATGGCTCACATTTGCTACGTATAATAAAACACTAAACAAGTCATGTAAGTCATGGACAAAAATTGCCTTACAAATTACCTGAATTAGATGGATCTGAGATTCATGCCACTAATATTCCACAAAGAAACAAAATCAAGAGTGACAACAATAAGAAAAAGCTGAACATCTAAGTAATTGATAATAAATAATCTTATTATCAGACCATCAAAAATGGAGAAAAACTCAAAAGTTTAAATGTGATTTGAAATGATCATAATTGATTTCAAATTACAAAAAAAAGATTTTGGATGCATACATTTTAGAGACCATAAAAAACAAAACAAGGCAAATATGAGCTAAATTGAAAAGTACAACAAATGAACTAAAATTGAACAAACTGGCTCAAACAGATCTACAATAATCAAATATGACAAACCTTCGACTTGAAATAAAAGATGAAACTGAGATGGTTTTAACAGTCAGAGTGTATAGGGGTATAACAAACTCAAAAGATGTCAGATTTAACCTACTGAACATTACAAATCTTTGGCATTTGGTCTTGATCTGGGTTCTTATTGGTTAAAGACACATAGAAACCATACACATTGGTTACTTGTTTTGTATTCAGCATTTCTGTGAATCTTAATCTGTCATAAAATACTGTAAAATTGATTAAGTCACGTGACACCAGTGTTTTTCTTTAAAGAAAGTGTAGCTACTCTTACTCCATGAACCCCCTATTACAAAACCAGTTAACAATTAAGGCCAGTTTGGCCAACCCTGCCGGCAAAAGAGATTAAACAATAACACAAGTTACTTAAAAATAAGGTCAAACTGCTGGACTGTTGTGCTGCTGAAGAGGAGAGTTTTGATTCTTCAAACATTTCTTGTCATGAGGTCCAGTGAGCATTCCTAGTGTTGCAGCCACAGACAAAGCAAAGCACATATCATGCCTTTGGCCAAGTGCCTGGTGATGTAAAAGTCAAAGGAAGACTAGGAAAAAAACTTGAGTGATACTTGGTGAGAATGTTGATGTGACCAATCCAAGAAGGAGCTATAAAGACTCTACAGAAGACCACACATGAGAAACAATATTTGTTTAACCAGAAATAGCCATGCATTTAGCTTAATATAACATTCCAAATACATAAATATGAATATATTTATCTTACAAATATATCTATTCAAATATCATTATTTTCCAAAAATTTAAGAAATGTGAAGAAAGAGTATTTTTTTTGTTACACCATATAC